TGCACTAATTCACCCCCCCCCCCTTTTCTTATGTACAGCGGAAGAACATAAAATAAAATCATAAATTTCTCAAAATGTGTTCATTGTCGTACGAAGATTAGTACGCAAAAACTCACGAAACTGAAAATCACGTGTGAGATAGTTGTGTTACTTAGGGAGATCGTATATCCCTATATTCTTGCAAATCTGTGGGAGAGGATGAAGGAAAGCATCCTCCTCTCTAACGAAGATCCACGCGGCAGGGGTTACAAAGATGCTCCTCAAATCACTGTCCAAATCTCCACACCTGCTATTTGAGGAGGAGAAGGGGAGAGAAGAATAGGAGGTGGCAACCAATAAGCCTATCCTATGACTTTTGGTTCTCTCGTATTTACAAAGGCCCCCTATTAATTTAACCCTAATGGATCCTACCCTATTGGGTATTGGATCTTCATCTAACTACTTAAGCCTTTTATATTAATAGATATCTATCTAATAATCTCTCATTAGTTCTTATTAGATATCATCCATATAATTTAATAATTCAAGGATTTATTAGATATCCAGTAAGCTACAACGACATAGTTCCTTTGTGACGATAGAGGTGTTTCTTGATGATAAAGTTTCTTATTAATTATTATATTCAAAAGGTACAAATGATTTCTTTTTAAGATACTAAATTTCAATCTAGCATATAGTTTTCGAAAGTTTTATTTCTCACATGGAAGCTTGGATCGCTCACCACGTGAACCCAACCCAGTCAAAGCTCCACACGTACTTGGCTATCAAGAGGTTAATGCATCATACCTGTGCAAGTCTTATTTGGTGATGTACTTTTGCTTTTGGAAGGGAGGGGAGGAGCCTGAACAAGGCGATGTGCTCACGAAACCTTTGGTGATGTGTGTTGCAGACCTTGCTGTCCTTGAACGCCTTCGCTCCGTCGAACTCCCCGCCGTCGATCATGGCCGAACTACTCAGCCCGTTGAATCCCCCTGCGAGCTCCCGGAGGTCGCCTAAGTTCGCGTTCGGCGACACGTTCCCGGCCAAAGTGTTTGTATTCCCTGTTCATCACACGAGAAACGTAGCAAGCTTGAGCCAGTACCGTAATTGGATTTGCAGTGTTGACACCATCCGTTGCATGCCTGTTATCGGCCCGACGATGATGAGACGGTTCGAGGGGTAATGAAGCATTCAAGTCCTCGAAGAGCTCCCTGACAGTAGGGGACTAGACCGCAGCATTGCAGACAAGCCCATCGAGCGGCGTTTCGGATTGCCGCCGAAAGCTCTTCACGAACTGGCGGACGCTGTCCAACCACTCGAGGTCGAGGTGCATAACCGCGTAGTTCTCGTCGAACATGCCGGCGAACTTGGCGACCTTTCTCAGCCTTAAGGAAGTCACGGCACGCCATGATCACGTTCCACTTGATAGTCTCCGCCAGTGCCTTGGCGGTGGCAAGTCCCAGGCCGGAAGAGGCTCCTGTGACTACCACATTGCCTTTTCTTATTGTCTTCTTCCCTTTAGTGGTTTGTTTGATTGCCGGGGTTGTGACTGCTGCCTGAGCTCTCGGCACTCCAACCGAAACATTTGGTCTCTGCTAGCCCAAAGACACTCGTTGCATATAAAATTTCATCAAGTATTATGTTGAGGCAGAAAAATTCAACAATTTTATCCGCCTCATCATTGAACAAGATTAGATTTTTTGACTTTGTAAACCTATGATGCAATAACCCCGTGGTCGAGTCCAGTGCCGGTATGAAGCTAATCACTCCCCAGTACCGACAAGCTCATGTCTGATTTCATATGGTCAGTAATTGATATTCCAAAGAAAGCAGAGTCCTTGACGCCGCCATTGGCCTTCCCCTACACGAACCGGAAAAGAAGATGTTGACGACCCAGTGCAGATGGAGGAGACTCCAAACTCTACCTCCTTGTGGACAGCGGAGAGGGCCGAGGAAAAGAAAGAGGAGCCCTCAAGAGCCATTGGACTGCGCAGTCGCAATGATCTGGGAAGAGACTGGCTTTACATGAGGGCGAGAAGTGAGATTTGAGGGTGGATAAGGTGATAAAAACCGAGCAAATGGAGGTAGCGACCCCACAGGGATCGGCAATTAGGTCTCTCGGCTAGATCTGGTCGTATTGATAATGTTGATTTAACGTGCCTTGCCCCGGACAGGAAACAGTGGTGCTATATCATGATTGCTGGGCCCCCTCCCTACGATTCAGTAGTGAGCAGGGAATCAGTCGTTCACATATTTAAACCTCGGATACATTGTCTTCGAATTTTTAATCTGTCATATATGTCACTCCTGTTAACCTTCGTATAGCAAAGTCAGATTTAACATAACTAAAATACTCTTTAATGCTTTCACCCAAAAATCAATTATAAATTTATATAATTAAAAGATAATCAATTTGGAGAAATACATGTAACAATTTCGAAGGGTATTTTAAGTTAATGAACGAAGATGCACTACAATGACATTTATGAATATATAAGTAATTTTGTCAAACATTTTCAATAATTAAAAAAAAACCAATTGTACCATCATGTAATGTTATGCAAAGTAGGCCATAATAATGGTAGCAACAACCAAGAAAAGAATACACTAAAATTATCTCGCAAGACACGTTAAACAAGAAAAGATACACTTCGAGGGTTGCATGGAGAATAGTCAACTTGCACAAGAACCACGAATCAAGAAAAACTTCCGTAATCATCTTGCAAATAAATTAATTGGTAGGACACTTTAACGCACACCAATCTTATTCTAAATTTTGCAACTCAAATAATTAATACGAGCTGTTTATAGTTTCATCCTTATTTTTTAGTTCCTATTCTTGAATCCTATTGGTGGTATCCATGAGGCTGATAAGCTTGCAAGAAATATAAAGCCTCATGCTGCTCACATACAACCTTCTCTACATGCTTGCTTTAGAGCATGTTGAGAATGGACGGACCTTGGTCTGCACTTTGTATTTGAACAGTTAAAGACTGGCTGAGAGGAAACCAGCTTTGATCTCTAGAAAGCGGTCCAAGTCTCTAGCTTCTTGTATTAGTTCATAGAGTATGTGAATTTTTTTGCATACTGAAAAAAAGTTTTTCTCGTCGATTTAACAATTAACAAGAAGCCAAATATTGAAGAGAACGTATCCTAGAGTGAAGAACAATTACCTTTGTCATGATAAAGGTGTTCAATTGAATCATGTTGGCCCTGGTAAAACTCCCAAAGAAAGAATTTGACAAGCTGAATTGGCATGCAGTTAAGGAATCCACTTCTTACAATTGAAATCATCAAACTACAAACACTGTTACGGTTGTCATTTCTACATCACCACAAAGAAGCCGATGCCTCACGCAAGTGTTGATCTAGTGATGGAATCTCGTATGCAGCAACACACTCTTTACCCTTGTTCTGATTATAGTAGTCTTTAGCCCCATGAAGATAAAAATTTCACAAGGGCTGACAGTTAGAAAAAGTAGGAACCTTCTAATGAAAAATTAAAACTGTATCACCGCATAACAGACTCTTTCACGAATGATCGTCCGCCAGAACTGTGGAAGCATAACCAGATAAAAAAAAAAAAAAAAAAAAAAAAAAAAAACAATTTTAGCTTGCTAAGATATCAAGTATCAAATGCTCTAGACAGAATTTCATCTTAAAACTTACGAGTATTCCAGATGAATATTTAAGAACCGTGCATTCTCTTTGCTCTGGGACAATGTTACAGAACCTTCAATTTTCTGATCTTGCTGCAACTCAATTGGATCGTATAAATACAACAGAGTCTGAAAGAAAAAATTCAATCATGACTATCAAAAAAACAGAATCAGATGGTTCAAACCTGTATGTAAAAAAAATATTAAATTAAAATATAGAATATGCCCTTAAATTAGATTAAATAGAAAATTATATGAAGTACCTGCTGCCAGTGAGTCGGAGCATCTTCTGGTGCAGTGGAAAGTACAATTCCTTCATCAGATTTTATTCTCTTCTTATTCTGACTAGAACCATGTGTTTGTTGGTCAACCAGACTGCCCAGCGGAGGTTGTAGATGGTGATTGGAAGAATAATTTGCAGGTCCATTGAAGACAACATCAAACCAAAATGCAAAGCCATGTAGTGGAGCTTTTGGAGAGCAAAGAAACAACTCAGTTGCAAATGATCATTGCAAATACAAATATAAGATATGCAGAATTGGAAGATAAAATAAACAATTTTCAATGAAGACTGAAGATTGCAGATCTACTGGGTCACCCAATAGTAGGAAACTAGAAGTTGCAAGTTCATAATTCCATAAAAAATAGCTGCTATAAAGAGCATCTGTACTGGCATGAAAATGATCTATAATTCTTAAATACCAAGAATTATAACTTGAGAGAATGTGCTAGCAACTGTATTGGCATTCAAATGATATATGGTTCTTAAATACCAAAAGCTATAGCTTGAGAGAATGTATTAAAGCTCAGATATATGATCATTGGTAAAAACTGTGGATGACACAGTACTGACAACTAGATCTCTGATTGATTTTTGACTTACCTTTCAGAAGGCATCTAAAAATTCAACCTACTAGAGTTAAAATTCAAATTCTTTCCCACAAAAGTTCTCAATTTTGATCAGCTCCATACTTGAAATATGATGATTTGTTCTTAATTTGGAAATTGGCATCGCACAAAGCATAATCATATTCATTATCATAAACCACACCTTTTCCCATCAATAGGGGGTTGATTATAGAGGCATAATTCAATATCACAAAGACTTCATGGAAATTTTGATAAAGTTCTACAAGCGGCTGTCAGTTAAATGTGAGCCTGAAAGTCAATAATTACTAGCTAATAATACAAATTAATGGTACAGAAGGATCTGCCAAAAGAGTGATGTAAAATTTAAGCACCAAAAAGCAACAAAGTTTCCTAGGAGATTACTCTTGGGTATCATTAACTACAATTATTGTATTGAGGCTCCTAAACCCCTATCAATAGTGGGGCTTGTCAATGGATCAAATACTTCAAATTTGAATGAAAAAGAACTGCATCTTCTCTCTTCTAATCTCTCTCTCCTCTCTAATCTCTAATTTGACTCCTCTCTCTCTCCTCTCTAAACTCTAATCTCATTCCTCTCTTGCTCACCTCTTTAATCTCTAATCTCACTCCTCTTTTACTCTCTCTCTCTCTCTCTCTCTCTCTCTCTCTCTATTTCTCTACCTTGTTTTACATCAGTTTGGTATCAGAGTAATCAAGAAACCCACCCTGTATCCCATTGGACCCTAACTAGTTGCAAGAGCTTCAATCAACGGTTACGCCATTCATTGATGCTTGCACCTCCAACATCAATCCCTTGCGTGTGGAGTTGGACTTTGGAGCAACTTGTCTCTTTGGAATTGATGGATCAATTCTCTCTCGATGTTTGGTAATTTTTAAAAACTTCACTAATATTTTTGTTGGAAAAAAATCGTATATTTTGTTAGATCATGGTTTTCATCGCTTCTTCTTCCCCCTATTTTCTTCTTTTTTTTATATGTATCACCTTCTCTCTCTCTCCTTTAACTACAACTATAGTACCATTAAAATTTAAACTCTTGAAAGTTATCCCAAAAAAAAGTGAGAACCACTTGAATCATTGCATTTCTACCTTGTGCATTACAACAATTAACCTCATTACCAAAAGGCAATCTATCGATAGCATTACTAGGTGAGGTGAAAACCAACCCAATCCAGATTATTCCCAAAACCATCAAGAGTGAGATAGAAACCCTTAGGACCAAACTAACAAATCATGACACAATATTAAACCAATTATCCGACTAAACGACCCAAGTCCCAAGAGTTCTCCAATGCCTTAAAAAATGACCTATGAATAAGGAGATTGATGAATTGATTATGTAACATAACCATTCTCCACAATCTATAGCTTCCAATCAAGGAATTTTACCTACTTCCCAAACCCCACTTTGAACAAATCTAGGTCCACATATTGGACACCTGTTCACAATCATGCTCCAACAATTCCTAATGACCAAAATTTTAACCTTAACGATGAATTCTTAGAACCTATTAAAAATTCACATACCTGAGTAATGGATCAATGAAATTCGGTTTGCTAACAATTTAGATAAAATGGCTAGAAGCGTCAAAGTGGGGGGTGCTAGCCTGTGATGGTTGGTTTGACCCAAAAGTGTTTGTTGACCCAAATCCTAGATCCAACTGATTGAAAAATTGTTAAACTATAAACAGTTGACTTCGAGTGGTCGAGTATTTAGCCCGATTTGAGGAACTTGTACTTAAGTATGAAATTAAGGAAGACCAAATCATCACTGTAAAGAGGTTTGTTAATGGGTTAAAGTTTGACATACAACGAGGAATCTCCCTTAGTTATCCTGACACCATAGAGGAAGCTTCCCGACAAACCATTAAGATTGAAAAGTACCTTAAACTCTATCCAACTCGTCAAGTTTCTTCTCAGTCATTGATAATAGAACAATATCCCAATCTACCCCAAGTAGTAACTCTGTCAAGCCAAAGATCCCCACTACTAGCAACACTCGTGGCCCCACTATAAATCATCCAACTCATTCGGTCACTAATTCTCAAACTAGTTCGTCTTCAATTCAATGTCACTACTATCATAATAGAGGTCACATTGCCATTCATTGTCCTCAATGCACCGTTACCTTAAAACAAGAACAAGATGATCAAATCGAGGAAGTAGACTAAGTAGTTGAACACGAAACATACTCAGGTGATAAAAATGAACTAGAAATTAAAGATAGCCATGCTAATATTGTCTGCATCATTCTCTCTACTACTAATGATTCTAATGAATGGAAGAGAACAAGTATCTTTCATACTTTTATTCAAAGCAAAGAGAAAACTTGCAAGTTGGTTATAGATAAGGGTAGCACTATGAATGTAATATCAAAATATGTTATTAAGAGACAACCTTAAAGTAGAGTCACATCCAACACCATTCAAGTAGCCTAGGTTAACAAAACAACTTTACCCGTGACTGAAAGATACTTGATACCAATTAAGATGAGCGATTACCAGGATAATTTACTATGATGTTCTACTAATGGATGTTGCCCACATCCTTCAAAGTCGGCATTGGTTGTATGACCTTAATATTACCAATCATGGGAGAGAAAACACCAATGTCTTTCGGTATTAAGGTAAAAACATGATACTATGACCAACAAAACCATCGAAAAAGGATAAATCAGGAACTCCTAAGTCCCTTCCACAAGCCCCAATCACCAAGGGACTCCACTTACTAGATACTGAGTCTTTCGAAGTAAAGAGCCTAGATAATAAATTTTATGTGGTCATCATTACTAGAGATTCCTAGCCCTTATGCTACTCTTGACCTAACTCCTAAGGATAAATCCTTGTTAGATGAATTAATACCTTTGGAATTACCTAGTGAATTGCCACCCTCATGAGAAATCTAACATGTCATTGACCTTACACCCCTTCCACTTGACTATCATACCTCAAGATCATTTCACTCCTTCATTCAACATATCCATAATTTGGATGTTGAGGTTCGACAAAAAATTGTCTTAAATAATGAAAGTTATAAACTTATTACTAATGCACACTGTAGGAGTCAAGAATTTCACATTGGCAATTATATCTTGGTTTATATTCACTGTGAGAGATTCTCCACAAACTCGTTCAAAAAGTTGCATTCTAGAGCCATCGGTCCTTTCCCCATTATCCAAAAATTAAATTTTAAAGCATATATATACGATTTGTCTTCTGACTCAAATATTAGTTTAGTTTTCAATGTAGAGAATTTAACTTCATATCATGGTATTTTTTAGCCTCCTCTATCTACCAATGTTTCTAATCTAACTCCTCTCTTTCTCTCCTCTCAAATCTCTAATCTCAGTCCTCTCTCTCCTCTTTAATCTCTAATCTCATTCCTCTCTTACTCTCTCTCTATTTCTCTACATTGTTCTACATCACTTACCTTAATGAAATTTCCTCTCAATTTATACAATGGATTTTTTTTTGCATTTCTTTTTCTTCCTTTCAATGTCTAATTAATGGACAATTTTCTTCCCCTTTCGAAAGCCATTGTGGGGTGCAGCAAGGGCATCCCTTATTCCCTTACCTCTTAATCCTTGTCGCTCAGACCCTTCCGCAACTCCTAAACCAAGCTACAACTCAAAAGAAACTTGCTCTTTTTTGTTTGGTTGAAATTGCCATCTAAGTCAATGATTTCTGATGACATTTTACTACGCTTCCAAATATACCTCTCTTCATCCTTGGACAACATTAACCTTAAAAAAATCCAGTTGGAGTAGCAAACTTCTCTATACGGCTATGCATGAATTAAAAAATAATTTTTTTACAGATCGGTGATGGTAGACTTTCTAATTCACTAAATGATCTCCAGTTATTTGACGTGTCTTTAAGTTTAAAACCTACTTATAATAATGTAACAAACCTTCCTTCTGATACCCTTGTGCGTTATTTCATCCAATCTAATAGCTGTAATATCCCATTGCTATTGGATTATTGTGGTCCCTCGCTAGTCCAAACTATCGCCTGTACAGAGATTGATCATTCGCCTAGTGATGATGTATGGGTTTGGCACAGTCATACATTAGGTAAGGTTTGCTTACTATTTGCTTACACAGATTCACTTAATCAAAACTGGTATGGCTGGCATTATCTTTGGAGAATACCTGTTGTCCCGCATATCCACATCTGATAAACTTAGAAATATCAATATACATCCCATTTTTACTTGCCCTCTTTGTCAGCAAGAACCTGAATCCATTCATCACCTATTCTTTCAGTATTATTTTTCCTTAACGTATTTGGGTCTATTGAGAACAAAACCTCAGCCTCAACTTTATATATAAACCCACTTGGTCCCAAGGAGATTGGTTAAAAGAAGGCTTTACTAAGATCCATGATTCCTTATGAAAAGAAAGGAATGATTCACTTTTCAATAGTAAGGAACCCTCTGCCTGGTGGGTTCATTTTGCTTAACTCAAGCCCTTACCCAAATTCGCTACTATACTAGATCTACCATACCTGGTAGGAAGGCACCCAAATACCAACTCTCTATAGTTGCAATGGAAAAGACCTCCAAAGGACTGGACTAAGCTTAATTCTGATGGTTCCTCTTCCATGCAGGATGGAGGACTCAGATTTGTGTTGCAGGATCATTTGGGAGCTTGCTTAAGAGTTGGAAAAATATTGTCTTCAACGAAACAAATATACAATTTGAAGCCTTGGCCATTAAAAAAGACCTTGCTTCAGATCTAGGACTGAAGCACATTCAGATTGAAACAAATTCTTCAACACTTTATGATATATGCACCAAGGAAGCTAAACCTCCATGGCGTCTCCGACTCACCATCATACACATCAAGAAGATTCTTCAATGACTAATTTCTTATAATTTTTAAAACTGTTATAGGGAATGTAACCAAGCAGCAAATTGGGCTAAATTAAAGAAGAATGGATGGACCCCTCAATTTTATCTCTGTTATTACACAATGACCTATACAGGTCCTTTTGTAGAACATAGTTTCTTTTTTTGTAAAAAAAGCAACGAAGAAGGAAATCTAAACCAAATCAAATGATCACATAGCCAGCCAATTATACCACATAGAGGAAGGTCAACGTAAGCTAGCTTAAGAAAGTCGAATTTGGTAGTTCCCTTGCCAAATCTGCCAAACCAAGTTCTAGAACTGAGACTATGCAATTTCTACGCTTGCCAAACCAAGTTATAGAACTGAGACTATGCAATTTCTACATTTTCCAAACCAAGATCTAAAGCTGTCAAATCATACTACCAATGAAAGAGACAAATCCACTTGTAAAACTGGTACTATGCAATTATATTCGAAGAGCTACAAAACATGGAACCAACAGGGCCAGCTCCACCAGTCAAGTATGCTTCTATTGGGATGCCCAAAATCAAAGTCCATATTTTGTTGCTATATGACATTCTTCTAGATGGAAGAAAAACCGTTGCATGAATTCAAGATTTGTCGTCTTGTTCTTTCACTTATGGAAGGACTTCGACTACTGGTAGAGTACAACCTGCTATTTAATAATATGCATAATTAAATTCATTAGTTAATAGTAAATTGTAAGGTAGAACAGCTTGCTAGATATATTCATCCCCAGAATCGTACTATGTTTCATTTTGATAATTATTTATTTGTTACAACAGTTTCAGCATTTCTCTTAGTAGTTAAAAGAAATCTAGTGATTTTGAAAAATCTTTGTCCAGATTTAAAGACTGTGCGGCCTTTCTTGCCCAACATGTAGTTTAGACTCAACAATTCTACTAAAAATACCCAGAGATCAATTGTAGAACATGCATATTTCAGGCGCATAAATCAGCAACATACATTGATTAGAATGAAAGTTGATCAGAAGAGCTTCTCATACATTCAAAACCTAACATTCAGGTTCCCTTACTAAAAACATGATATTGCATGAACATAATCACCATCATCCCATTACCATAGAGCAAGCAATAAGAGGAACATTCCAGTAGATTCACTAATATACATTGGAGAGTTTTGTTGCAGCTGATCATTAAAACTTCCAAAAATACAAAAAAGGACCTAATAAAAGCATAAAAAAATTTAGTGCAATAATTACCTCGTAACATTGATGAAAAACTAAATTTTGCAGTGACAGATTCAAGCTCCTGAATTGTGACAGTGTAACAATCCACTTCCTTGACCTGTTTATCATATCCATATAAATGAATATTTGCATGAAGGCAGCACATATAATTAGAGCCAAGCGTGTAGATAAAGTTTTAACTCCTGTATCAATTCAAATGAATTATCTCAAGAAGAAATGAATCAAGCATATTTACACTTCAATTAATTCAAAAATAGTTTCTAACAATTAAAATTTTTGGTAGCTTTGAACTATTTACTGGATCTAAGATGATCAACAGCTTATCATAAAATGAAACTTTGCTAGTTATGACATTCAGAATAGAAAAAGCGTAGTAGTTCAATGTATTTCTTGCATTTTTTCCTTTCTTTCAAGTAATACAAGTAAATTACATGATTGACCCAGTAATTAAGTTGTCTTGCGAATGTCAATATTCAAGACTGGATGGATAACTAGTGCCTGAGTGAAAACTTCTACAGAACAAACTGGGAAACTGTACCCTAAAATAGTATATTGTCCACTCTCATGTATTCACATCTACCTATATGGGGTTCCAAAATTTGTTTCCATTAATTTGAAAAAAAATATTCTTCAGGTCCATGTAAGGTGGTTGTCTACAGGCTCTATAGCATTGTAGTAGCTGATATTGGAACTAGCCTTAAAATGAACCTACAACCAACTAGCATTCTTGGCCCTTCATAAAACTTATCTTTCTTGCATAAGCAGTCTTTAGCTTGGATATAGATACCAACCTCAGAGACTTGCTGTTAGTCAACAATCATAGAAAGATTTAAATCTTCCATGAATCTTCACAATTTTGAGTTACAATGATAGACTAGAACCGCTAGTCTCTTTGAAAATATATCATGCTTACATAACACATGCAAGTTCAATCTTGGTACTTAAAGGTTAAGCTAACTTTTACATCAATTTGTTGTTTTGCATAAATATCAAAACAACAGAATAATATTTCAGGATAAGTAGAAGATAAGGACCATCAGATAACATCTTACACTTACCAATATTGGCCATGTCAAAACATTTTCTCCTGAAATGGTCTCAATACATGGCTCTTCAAAAGCACACTGTTTGGCAAGTGGCAGCATAGCAGACACTGCAGACAAGAATGATATTGAGTTGTGGAACACTCAACTAAAAAGTCCAAATTATTCTTTCCTTCTATTCCATACTGTTGCTGACACAGATATCATTTTTTACAGTTTGTGCAAATTAATTCATTCTGATTCAAGTCAATGCTCTGTGATTTTGCTTGAAAGTTCACCAATGAATGATGCACAGTTGACTTACTATTGATCCCATAAACATCACGCCAGAAATCAATGCTTTCACGGTACCTATCAGCATGAGTAACAGGTGCCATATAAAGCTGCAAGATAAAATGATATTAGCATACAATTTTTTATTATCAAATCTCAACAACAATGACTTCCATAAAAGGTGTTCAATTATATTGGAACTTACATTGGATTTCACACACCATAAGTGAGAAAATCCCAGTTGAACAGAAATGACAAGAAACTAGCATTTGTGGCAACCAGATACATAAAGCATCCAATTGTTAGACACAAAACCTGTGATGTATACAAGTTATGTTCGAAGAACATTTAAAAAAGTATCCAAGTGCATGGGGCTCTCGACAATTTGGTCCTGGAGGATCAATTCACTCAGCCCTACCCCCCCCATACAAGAAGCGAGGTTGTTCTTGTGACTTCAACCCTGGTAACAAAAGAGTAGTTTTACCATTGTACCATCACTCACCTCTTGTTTGGACAACATTCTAAATATAAATTATACTTAGTTCAAGAGTAGTGTGTTAAGCTTACAAATTAAACAACATCAATAATGTCATAGATAGCAACTTTGAATAATGTAGACAGAAGCAGCAAATCTATTAAAAGCTTTCATATACTTTTGGTTCATTATTCATAAGGTATGGGAAAATAACAATTAAGAGTATATTTGATTAAATGCAAGGTAGGCAACACCGAATGATACCGCCCGATACGGGCGGTACGTACCGGTTCGACGGCATACTGGTACGCGGACCGCCCGCAACCGGGTGGAACGTTTAAAAGCGCCCCATATCGGATGATACGGGGTAATATCGAGCGATAACAGTCGAAATTTCAACCATTACCGCATGGCACAACTCGGTAATGGTCGAAATCGACCATTAACACACTGTAACAATGCTACAGTGCTCCAACAGTCAAATTGACCGTTGGAGCCCGTTCTCATAGTATTTAAACTCTTCTTCTTCCTTATTTCACTCCATTAGATTCTCATGCTTTCTTAAACTATCTCAAACTCTTTTTTCTCTCTTAAACTCTACAAAACAATTATTTGTGTATTCAATCGAGGCTAATTTGGGAAGATTAAGAGGAAAAACTTTCTAATCAAGAGGTATGTATTCTCTTTCTTTAATTAGAGAGTAATTAAGAGACATGATAGCAACACGGACAACAATGCCTCAACGGATGATGGCGGTGATGCCGGGCAGTCGTTGGTCTCATCTACACAACTTGAGGGTGGTGCATGGACTTAGGAGCAATATTTTACACATGTCACCCAAGATTCAGATCATGGAACTCGATAAGGTACTGGTCAAATTTATGCATGGAAGGGGAAGGGGAAGGGGAAGGAGAAGGCAGTGAATGAATTTAAGCATATACGACAGAGCCTACATGATATAGATACAGAAAAAATCTCATCGTATTCATAGACATCGTATTATGAAGAATCATACGAGCAACAACAGTATGGTGATAGTTGGTCATCCTTCTCTGAGCAACAGTATGATACAGAGCAGCAGATCAGTAGCGAAAGTATAAGCTCTGACATTCACCAATATATACCTCAAGAGCTACCTCAGACAAATATGATTCATGACGATCAGCCTACGATCAACACCACATTGATGCATCAATGGCATATAGTGTATCAATACACTATGTCATGGGATCAATTTCATGATTGGATCCAACAAACATATCATATTGATATGCAAATGTATAGGATCGAGGACCGCGATCTACCGCCCGTGGAGGCCCGTCGTTCGTTTTGGTGGTAGAATCAACAATCAGGTATATCTACATATGTGATTATTTAATTCATTTGAATTTTAGAGTTTATATTGTAACAAAATAGTCTAACAATTCAAATGACTTTTCTATAGATATTTCAATATTTACAGGACAATCTATAACGGACTGAAATACGAAGCTTGAACAAGACTTCCTCAAAGCCCAAAAAAGATATGTGATACTATTCTTACCTAATTTACATTGATTTTGTTAAACTTATACTATTACTATATTTATTTCTAACTTAAAAACCCTATCCTAACTTTTTTTTTTCAAGTATTTTCAGAGGGTTTTACACCCTAAATTAGGTGTATCGCTCGGTATGCCCTGGCGTACCGCTCAGTACACGGTACCATACCGTACCGAGCCAGCCTCAAAACACCGGTACAGTACAGTATTGCAGACCTTGATTAAATGGAATGAGGTTACCACTTGAGATAATTAAAAAAATAAATCACTGATTTGACTAGTAAGAGCATTAAATATAATAGCAAGTAATTTGACAGCCACTGGTTTGACTAGTAAGAGCATCCTCAACAAAGCTTAATGGCTGGAAATTATCCATGTTGCTTACAAAAAAGTTGAGAATGGTACAATATTTTTTATATTAAGGAGAGCTATCATGACAAATCATTCCTGTTAAGACCAATTGTCATATATTAATAATCTAAAATAAAAAAAGAATGGAGTCAAGGTGCTTAGGTGCCAAAGTGAATTTAAGAAATCTAGGCACATGATGTCTCATCATGACCTAGGCAAGCACCATTAATGAGGTTGCCACTCCAGATGTTAACAGAAGCCCGGTGAAAATAACGTCTAAACTTGACCAATATATAACAGAAGCCCGATGTATGAAAATTTCGAGTCAAGGCAAAAAAGGGAAGTTGTAGTTTAAAAAAAAAGGACGCAAAACTGGCCAAAATAATGAAAGTAGAACAAAGTGTTACCGAAGCATGTGAAGGAAGTATAAGCCCTCCTGGCTTAAGCCATTTATCCCTGGCAAAAATGATACTAGGCAACATACTCTGAAAGTCAAATTAAAAAAAAAATAGTCAGTAAAATTAAACCAAAAAGAAACCATACTTGGATAATGCAGTGCTAAATGTAAAAACCACAAACTCCACAAATTATCAGATGTTTCATGTGCACTCACCTGCAGATAAAATCTAATAAATAACAAAATAAACTATAAGCACCTCATATAGGAGAATGTAGCCCATCCATTCCGATACAATCACATCAACCTTCTCATCAATGCTTACATCCTGAATCAAAATGACATGCCACAAAACGATACGTAAATATAGCAAAACAAGAAAAAAATGTTAAGAATGACAAATAGGAGATAAAAGCGAAAAAGTGACGATTAAAAGGAAAACATATACTAGCAAGGAAGAATAACAACAAAAAAAGCTTACACAAAGTAGAGAATGTTCTTGCCAAAAGCCTAATTAAGATGGCCACAAGCAATTTGAAATATATCAAAGCTGCATGTCTTATGTATCATTTATATCAAGGTAATGATGAAAACCATAAATGTATAGGCTATGGTTTGCCTTACCGGTCCATACTGATGTACCAACCAACTGTCCGTATAGTACATACCGAGCTATACCGAGTCGTACTGAGCATACCGACACATAGTACATGAAGGTATACCGATATACCGCCCATACTAATAGATACAGGGAGGTGTTATCACAACATACAATAAAGAATCTTTTCTAGAGAAGAAAAGGAATAGAATTTAAAGAAAAGGCAGGATAGAGAGGTAATTCATTTTAGGAAAAGACACAATATATGCCCAGAAACAATCACGCAACAACAAAATTAATCGTCAAAACAAAAGGACAAAAGTTACTGAAAGGCTGCAGAACTTGACTTAGACAAAAGTTACTGAAAGGCTGCAGAACTTGACTTAACGATATACTTTCCAGGACAAAACTAAAATAGGACACTGAAAGTCTATTAACTGCAACATGAAGTGTCTGGAAGCTGGCCTAAATATGACATCTACAAAAGACAAATACTTCAAATTTCCATCAGTTATGTAGAAATATAGAGAAGAAAAGTCTGTGAAGTGATCACCATTGAAAATAAGTTAGGTATTATGCATTTAAAATTAAAACAAACCCATGAAGTTTCATGGAGACATCGAATATTTGGCGTGTTTTATCAAAGTGTCTGCACATGTTGGCTCCATCAAAATCAAGACACTGACAAGCCTACATATCAAAATTACAGACTTATACGCCTACATAACAAGATACTGTCAAACAAGATGTCTAGGGACATTAATCTACTGTAAGGCGTAAAATAACAGTGCTACTGTGTTTTTGTCCAAAAGAAATATTTTGAAGGCCCTTGATGAACATATATATCTAACTGAAAAATGTTCCGAGTCTAGTATTCTCATCGAAGGCAAATATCAAGCCATTAAAACTTTTCATACTTTCCATGTCAAATTGTACAATGCTACTTCTAGTTCCAGACCATAATTTAAGATTGATGCTGTAGAATTATAGCATGTTACTGTGTTGTTAAACTTAAAAGATAAGGCACTGAATAGAGCATGTGTAGGTGATCAAAGAAGCAAAAAAACCAACTGGTTTAAAAGACATTCAAACAAACACAGAAAAGTAATCGTTCATGATTTGCACTTCCATAAATATGAAAATTAGATTTTTGTCAGGAATCTCGCTTAATATAATAGAAATTTCATGAACAAAAATAATGAGCATCCATAGGTGCTCAGCAAAAGATTTCTAGAAACCCCAGTGATTT